AGAGATGCATAAGGGTAAGGGAAACGAGTTACACGTTATTATAACGGACAGCGTGTTTGTTTCGAAACTTGCTTATCTTGCTGATTTCTTTGGAGAAATCAATGCGCTTAACCTCAGCCTGCAAGGGAATATGATGAACATTTTAGTCGCTCAGGATAGAGTAGCCGGTTTCCTTCGCAAACTGCAGCTTTACCAGCGCTCGGTTGATGTTGACGACGTGGCGATATTTCCAGAACTAACGACGGTGCTCGTTGAAAGAAATGCAATATGCGCATTCACAAATGAAATATCTTGCCACTTGTCATCAGTGATGAATTCCATCAGCAAATATTTTCCTGATTTGGAAACTCGTCAATTAAGTGCCTGGGTGCTAAGACCGTTTACAGTAGCTGAAGGAATATTTCCAGATACTGAATTCGAAATCAAGGTACAATTCCTAGGAATGCGCGAGGACAGCGGATTGAAGGTAGATTTCCAAAGCACGCAACTAGTAACATTTTGGGCAAAGATAGGTGAAGAATATCCATTACTGTCGGAAAGCGCATTGAGAATATTGATCCCATTTGTAACAACTTATAAATGTGAAAGTGCATTTTCGACAATGATGGTAATGAAAACAAAAGCAAGCAATCGAATGAACTTGGAGCACGACTTGCGATGTGCATTGGCCGAAACTGCACCAAATATACCAGAAATTGTTGCCACCAAACAATACCAACCGTCTCATTGATGTATATCGCCTCTTGTTTGCATAGAATTTTGAATTAAAAGTACTGTTTTCTTTCGTTTATTTGTCGAGGGAGATTCCGGATACCGATCACTTCTCGTACTTAAGTCGGATAATTATGTAGTGAGAAGGGGTGTTTCCTTCAATTGCATGAGCACGTGAAACTACATATGACATTTGATTTTGAACTTTAGAGCGAAATGTGCAATAGTTATTACGTAGTAGTCTTTCGAAAGTTTGGGGGTAAAAGTCTGGTGGGCAACCTCCTTTGTGGGTAACGGCGTCTAAAAGGTTGGGAACCACTGTTCTAGAGCATTCGACGGAACGTTTTCGATTGCGAAGTTGAAGAGGAATGGGGAAATAGGACAGCCCTGTCGCACACCGCTATTGACAGCGAATTGCGAGGAAAGCTTGCCATAAACCTTCACTCTGCCGTATGTATGAAGGTAAAGTGCTCGTAAGATGGCGGTATATTTCTCTGACACCGCGTTCTTTAGCAAGCAACGCCATAAAGCAGGTTGATCAATGGAGTCAAAAGCGGCACGTATGTCTAGGAATGCAATGATAGTGGGCCTGTGATAAATGTGACGATGTTCGAGGAGCTGGCGGAGCGTGAAGATTTGATCCACGCATCCGCGGCCGGGACGGAAACCAGGTTGTTCTTCACGGTAGTATGATTCACGTACTGGGGATAGTCTGCGAAGCACAATGGATGCCAATAGCTTGGAGGCAACCGAAATAAGACTAATCCCGCGATAATTTGCACATGAAGTGCGAGCGCCTTTCTTGAAAATCGGGACAATAACTGATTCGCCCCAAGAGGAAGACACTTTCTCTTCATGCCAAATTTTTGAAAACAGCGCGGTCAGCTGGTTAATGATCGCCACACCGCCGTACTTGAATAGTTCCGGAGGAAGTCCGTCTAAGCTGGCAGCCTTGAAGCGCTTCAAGCGTCGCATCTCGAGGCAGACTTCCTCTTCGCTCGGTGTATTCAGTGGGATGAGCCAGGGTGGACAACAAGGTGTATTGCATGTACTGATGGATGGTGGAGCCCAGTTGAACTGCGAGTGAAAGTGCTTGACCCAGCGGTCCATACGCCTCTGTTGGTTGGTGATCGGAGACTCATCCACCTCACAAATGACCTCCCTGACACCAGGCTTCCTGAGGCCAGTGAACCGAATGAGTTGGAAAAGCCTGCGAGTGTTGCCAGAGAGGACAGCGGTCTCCATCTCTAAAGCACGCTCAGACCACCATGTCTCGCGATCCTTGCGTAGGCTTTGCTTGAGCATCCGGTTGGCAGAACGGCGCAGCTCGTTGCAATCTGATTCCGCGCGGATATCTTTGCGACGTTCGAACAGCTCCAGAGATCGAGCAGATCCAAGCCTTCAAGGGGCGTCGAGTTAGGCCGCAGCATGACTGTCCGGAAATGGTCATCGCCTTCCGTATACAAGTCCAGTGTTGTTCCACCTCTTGCAGTGGGTTGCAACTGAGTGCATATGCCAGTGAAGACTGATAGCTCGCCTAAACAGAGGAATCAGTTAATCTGTTTACATCAATCTTGCGGTTCTTCGTGTTTCGGGATCCTCCAAAACACATACAGATTTTCGCGCAGACCAGAGCATTATCTGAGTCAACGAAGGTGGACCAAAAGGACCTGCAGTCCAGTACGCTGCCGCGCCATCTGAAGCTAATTGCAATGTGATCAATTTGAGACCACGATTGTGTTGAAGAGGGGGGACGCCACGTTGCGGAACGCTTCTTCGTACGCCTGAGGTTAGTGCTCGAAAGAAACAGACGGTCGTCTTCGCACAATGTGAGAAGTCTCTCTAGGTGACCAGAGCGGTTCTCATCGAGCGCGTGATGACCACCAAGGTGGTGTTCATATAGTAACAGGCGGCCAAACCGTGCATTAAAATCCCCAGCAAGGATAACGACATCCGACTTTTTAGCATTAGTCAAGTGCTGTTGTAGAACACGGTAGAATTCGTCCTTGACCGAGTCGCCACTGCAGTCAGTTGGGACGTACACGGAGATCACAACCAAGTTGTGTCTCTCTTCGCGGTGCCTGTTGCTTCTACATGAACCCCGAAGCCGAACTGCACATAGTCGGCTGTTAATAGGGAACCAGTCCAGTAGTGCCGCCTCAGCCTTGCCACTTAGTGCTATACCTACGCCAGCCAGACCCGCTGAGGCTGCTCCTGGATCTCCAGAAAGACGCAGGTGATATCTGGCTTCGTGGTCAGTAGGGGATGTCAATGTAAGCACAGTGCTGGGATCTTGCAATCGGGTTTCTGAAAGGATACAGAAGTCAATGTCTAGGGAATCTAGGGTGCGCGCTAGACCGGTTTGCTGTCCAATCTGCATGAGTGTCCGAACGTTGAAGCACGCCAGACGGACCGAGAATCGGGGACGAAGGATAGCCATAGGTTGGACTCCGTGGTTCGCGGCGCAACTGGAATCGCAGCCAGATTGTTGAACACGTGAATCGGGTAAGGGAAAGTGAGGATTGTTAACAAACAAACAATTGGCGTGTGATGAAGTAGCGTGAAAGTGACTAGCAGAAACAGTAGCTGATGAGCACGTTGTAGTACAGTCCGTGGTTTTGCGAGAGGGCGTGATACTACCCGGTTGACCAAGCCGAAGTATGGAGTTGACTTAGGGGACTCCACTCCGAGCCTTTGGCTAAATAACCTACCCGCAAGGCAGCGGGGCCAACTAGGGTAGGCTGTACAGTGTAGTTTGACTCACGTCTGGTTCACGTTTTAGTCTCGAATGAACAGTATGTCGCGTACTCGCTTTGTTTGTCCTTCTTTATTGGGGATTGGCCTATTCTCGCAGCGTCCGACACAGCACACCAGTATAGACCAAATCATTCGCGCGGTTACCTGGAAGAGGCTCTATGCCAGAAACATGGAGCACTCAATATTATATCATCAGTGGCATTATTGAGGAGAAACCGGGACGTGGAATGTCCATGATATACACCGCTACTGACGGCGAGGTGTGGGGAGAGCTTCCCCCAGCCCTCACTCTGCCCGTGGCACTGAAATATAGTGCTCGAAGAATAGCAGTATACTCTTCGCCTACCCTACTCTTTTGTCGACAACGGTTTAATGCAGGCTGATCGACCTAGTCGAAAACGACTTGGATGCCGAGAAAGCGACCATGGTAGACTGACGGTGAAGTTAACGATGCCCGGGAGTTGGAGCGTGAACGTGTGATATACACACCTTCGACTGGGACGCAAAGCAGCGTTTACAGGTGTAGCTCTTGAATGGCTTCAGAAAAGTTTGAAAACAACCGGTTGTTTTCAAACCTTTCTGAAATCATGAGTTCTCGATTGATTCTCGAATGACTTCATCTGCAGAGCCGAACAGATGTTAACAATTTGAAGGCGATGGATATTAGTTTGATTCCTCCGTGGTTGGCTCATAAATTGTAGGCATCTTTCTTGAAGATCGGGGTGACTCGCTGAAAGAGGATAGAACCTTTTATTCACATCAAATCTTGGAGAACAGGCTGTTAACTACTTGACAGTTGCTTCGCCACCGTACTTGAACAGTTCCGGAGGAAAGCTATTTGAGCCAGCAGCCTTGAATAGCTTCAAGTCTTGAAGCACAAGGAAAACCTACTCCTCGGTGGGTGGTTCCAGTGAAACGTTCCACGATGGGCAATTTGGCGTACTTGATAGACAAGCGGAAGGAGGAGGCCAACTGGAAGTGCTCGGCCCGGCGGTTCATGCGCTACGCAACTAATGTTCGGTGTTCTATCAATTTCAAGTAGCCTCACTGATACCAGGTCTTATGTGGTCATGAAAGCTCACAAACATTGCGGTAAGCTGCTGTCTCCATCTCCGAAGCGTGCCGCTTGTCTATCAAGGCACTAAAAGTTTACCTTTCCACACATCCCATTTAGAGATGGAACTGATGCGCGTTGGCAGTCTGTCTTGTTAGCATTCAAGCGTTCAGATCCTGACATCTAGGCGATATATTCTAAGTGTAACTTGCACATATGGTGGTCATCTTGTGAGGGTTGGGCACCATCTGCGCAGTAGAACTAATGATTTTATTAGCCCGTTTACCGTCAGTAGGAAGTTCTATTCTTCGCCCCCACTATGGGTCAGAGTACTCAAAATAGCAGCTGCTATCAGGAGTGAGTCCACGGTTCTACGGGGCTAAGCAATGTAAAATAAACCACAACTGATGGTGAATTAAGATCAGGGGTTCTTTCCGTCAGTAACGAGATAGTTTATCAGATAGTTTAAAACAACTAGTCAAAACAGTACCCGGACGCAGTCGTAAACATTAACATACCTCTTGATTACAGAAGTCCGATTTGTGTTCTCTTGTATTACTTCATCCGTGGCGAGTATCAGATTCCCACCCTCATTTGGACCAACCTGATTCATTGAGGCCGAATTTCCGATAACAGGTAGTTTCACTGAAGTTATACGGGTGCTGCGTGCATTAGAGTCTCTTGGGCTGATGGAGTTCAGAGGCAGAAGTTTGTTTTGAAGGCTGGCTACTGAAGGCCGCACCCAGAAGCCATCTGGTGGATTGATAGATGTCCTCGGTGTTAGCAAAATTGCTGAAGATGATGATTCAGGGTTCAGGTCCGGCGAGTGTATTCGACTTGTTGTACTGCCTCTCTGAATAGAAAATAGTGATACATGTAAATATTTGAGCTCGTTGCAAGAGCTTGGAGTATGCTGCTAAGTATCTAGCTTAGTAATTTCTTTTAATCTGGGTCTTCTGCATTTGTTTTGGGCATCGTGCCCCAATACGTTCTATTTTCAACCACAGGATCTTTCACAAATGTGGAGCCTCTGAATGTTGTCGACCTAACAAAGTTGCAAGGCCGTAGTAGCAGAAGCATCTCTGCATGTACTTGGCGCAATAAACATAGGTTAAGAGAGGACAAGACTACTGCGGGCACGCATACCATCTAGCTTTCGCTTTCGTAGCTACAGGACCAACACTTGCCCATATGAATTAGGATGTAGACAATCCTAGTTTATGGTGGAATTGTTATTAAGACCCTCTAAGCAGCCGCTACCCCCAGCTGCGTACAGTGCTACTAGTGCGCGGTTGTGCGATTGGTTTTGAAGCACAGTGAAAACTGTAATTACAACCAAAAAGTGTACCGAATTCTCGGATCAGCAGATACTCAAATTAGTGACCATTTCTGCATTTAAGGTACTGCTCTCTCAATCGAGTTGGGCATCCTGATTTCATATGGAATTTAGTCGCTTCGACCGAGCCAAGCGAATCGAAATGTCTTGCGGCCGCATCGTTTTCGCGGTTTTCGTTCTCACGGAAGTACTCCTCTCCATCACATGATGGCACCTACAACTTAAACTCAATCGGGTTGTATTAATTTGCTCAATCCTCAGTCATTTGCACGGAATTACTTCCCGTCGGTCACGATCCCAACAATCATAGCCATTTTCACAAGTGTCGTACTCAAACGCACGCGTACCATCTTATCATCTCTTGGCCACCTTACCTGCCGCGCTCGATAGCGCAAGCTATCAGCCTTCCAATAAGCCCGGACTCGCTAACATACAGTATTTTCTAAAGTAGCTACTGAACAGTTCGCTTTTTGCACGCCTACCCGGTTTTTCACCTTCATCGGCATGCCGCACACACCGCTTGATCAGCCGACCGATCTGTCCTACCGGTCATGTACGCACACGGGTAAACGATCAACCTGTAACCCGTACTAAGCATCGTCCTATTCGTTATCCAGTTGGTTGCAGTGTTCTTCACGTTCGGCTCATGATCAGAAGAGTACGACCAGAACTCCAAACATGATGTAACGCTGCGTGTGCTCCTTAGAAAATGCGGTAAAATCCTTAATTAGGGATTGACCTACACAAAATGCATTAGGTCATTTCCTTCTAAGTACGTAGGGAACTTGGCATAATAAGTGAAGAACCGAGACATAGTAGCCGACTCCTTTCCGTTTTGCCCAACATGCTGTGTCATCCCAGTTGTCAACTGTTCAATGTGTGATTATGAAAAAGCATCTGGTTACTACCAGGATTGCACCGTCGGGACTGAATATGGCCACGATCGTATATCAGCCAGCGGCTTCAAGTGCCGTCTCTATCCTGGAGGAGAGAGCAACATGCTCCAACCGTGCTGCAGCGCGCGTGTTTTTAGATTCTCTGACTTCACTTCTCTAAGCGGTCGAGTATGTCTTCCTCCACTTCTTTCAGAGATGCAGTCTGTTAGTGATCACGCTTATCTAGTTGTGCCTTGTAAAATCAAGAATAAACATTTATTTATTTATTTAACGATGTACTTTCGTTGCTATGTACCTATGAGCAGTGTATATTTGCCTCACATTTGTAGCCATCGCAGTCGGACCGACTGCAACAATTGACTGCATTTCGAATCAGCGAACAAACTGATCTATCGCCCATTTTCTATTTTCTTCTTAGTCATTACTAATGAGTAGTGGGGATTTTGGTATAATTTCACGGATAGTTCATCCCAGTCATTAGTATATAACGGATGAAATTCCGAACGAGTAGCCGAATTAGGAAAATATCGTTATCCACTGTACAGCATTAACGAGCATTTGGTTAAACAGGCTGGCTTGCTAAACAACCTTCTCGTGGTGCCAGCTGGGTGGACGCGATGGTTTAGCCGCAAAGTTGCACGTGGCGCTTGTTGCACGGATTCTGCTAACGCACTTTATCCGCGAAATCAGACGAATCGATGGACGCTACCCCAAGAAACTAGTTACGCTTACGAGGCACGCGAAGTCGACCGACTAGATTGACGCACGCCCACGTGACCCATGCAACTCCCCACCAGCCGCACAAGAGGGAAGACAGAAAGCGAAGCGAACCCTTGAAAGTTCTTTTACGACCCTCAGAGGCCGAACAAGGTTGACACAGCGGTTCATTTTGTGGGAGAATAAATCACCACACGGAGCGTATGGCTCACAAAAGATGATTGTCACCGCTCCGCAAGGACTTAGACTGGCTTGTAGGCTGCTATGTTGTGGGTTGGAAATAGACGCCGCGTAGTGGAGTTCGAGGTGCAGTTGCGTATTTTTGCGGGATCACTTGATGTTCCGACTACACCTTCTCTTGAAGATAGGGTGTATCGCTTCTGACGAGGATTGATCTGGAGTAATTTCGGTGATCTGCGGATTCTTCCAGTTGGTCGATAAGGCGGGTTTTCGAGACGTTGCGGTGATTGGGCGGCTTCGACTGGCGTTTTCTGTTCTGTTGCAATTCCGAATATGTCCAACAAAAATGTGCGGTGGCAGGTGCACAGGAAGATTGGTTGACGTGGTTATCCTTGGCGCGGTCGAAGTTGATTGCGATGCCGGACCCGCGTGCATCGTTCACGGAGACATTATGCACCATATCACTTCGACGGGTCGTCACTGTTGCTTCAACCCATCGTGGATGACCTACCCGACAGTCACGGGATTATACAGGGTTCCAACGACGAACTCATTGTGCTTGGTGGATGCAGCAGATTGAATTGGTGGCTTCTCGGTCGGGATGATCGCTTCTTGAGTAGTGCGTAGCTAGAGGCCCATCAGTGCTTCAGCTGGAGCGGATGCGATTAGCGGGTTGACGGTGACCATTTTAGGCTATTTGGAGTAGGCGTCGACTTCGACTGGGTAAGAGATGCTATCGATCGCACCATGTCTTTTTCTGTAGCACGTTTGGAAATGAGACGGGACAGTCCGCCGGCTTGACCGATTTTCTGGGTGCGGCAATAGAGGATATCGTAGTCATTACAAAGCAGGATGACAGCCCAACGCACCTGTGGTCACGGTTTTTCTGTTGGATGCCAAGAAACTGGTGGTAGATGCTTGGATGCCTGTTGGCATCTTACAGTCCCGTAGTCCTAGGGATCACAAGCCTGCCTTGTAATCCGATGGCGCGGGTTCGAGCTTGCGTAGGGACCGGGCGATCCTCGCAGTATCCTTAGCCCACGTGCGACTGGTGGTGGTTGCGCGGCAGCGAAGCGTCGGTAATGAGTGCCGGCGTACTGCTGATTCCTTTTTGAGCAATGACGAACCAAAACTTCAATGTCGTTGTCATTACCGGGCCAGTACACATAGCTGTGGGCGATTGCTTTCATTCTGTTCATACTAGGGCGAGCAGGATCGAGTTGGCGGAGTACGGCTTGCCGGAGACAGAAAAGAGTAAAGACGCGATCCGTAGTTATGAATCAGGAATCGACCACTGGAAAAGTGTCGCGGCGCTGTTACAGTTGTTTGAGTTCTCCAGATAAGGCAGTGTTTGGCCAGTGCATTTGGACGTAACTAACAGCTTTTTGCAGGTCTTGTGAAGTTGAGCGACGTGTGCCGGTGGCAGTACTGGGGAGACTTCGGATAGCGTTCGTGAGTTGATGGCGAACGTCGTCCACGACGGTAACAGCGGCGATCACTATGCCTTCTTCCTTAGCAACTTTGGAAATGAGGTGGGACAGTCTACCGGCCTGACAGATTTCCTGATTGCGGCAGTAGAGGATTTCGTAGTCGTGACCAACCAAGGTGATACCCCAACGCTTACGTCGGCGAACCGAGTATGCGGGAATGCCCTTCTTTGAATCGGAGATTGAAAATAGTGGCTTGTGATCAGTCAGCAACGTAAAACGCCGGCCGTGCAGCATCTTGTGGAACTTTGTGACGGCAGACGCGATGGCCAGGGCTTCCTTCTCGATCCGCCCATAGTTCTTCTCCGCTGGCGTCAGCGTACGTGAGACGTGCATAACCGCTAGTTCGGATCCATTTGGGGAGCGGTGGGAGAGAATTGCTCCGGTCCCGTAGGCAGAGGCGTCAGCAGCGACCAAATCGGCAACCTTGGGTCTTAATAGGCCAGTAGTATGTTAGAACTCGGCATGAATTTTAGACAAACGAAAGCCTTTTTCCATGCGGGGGACAAGTGCCAAGGAACGTCCTGCAACGACCGATCGAGCGGGGTTCGAACATCGTATAGCGATGGCAGGAAGGCACTGTAGTAACTAATGTGACCAAGGCAGGACCGCAGTTGTGACATATCCACTGGAGCTGGCATCTGCTGGATGCCTCTGACGCTCTCAGAATCAGGATGACGGCCGCTGGCATCGAAAACGAAACCAACGTATTGATTGACGAAAGCAAAAGTTGCCATTTCTCTGCTCTCAAATTGAATCCATACTCCTGCAAAAGCTGAAGGACCGCGACTGGGCGCTCTCGATTCTCTTCTAGAGTGCGACCAACCGTTCTGTCCTCCCGACGGTTCAGCGACAGTGTTCTAGGACGTGATTGGTCTTCGCTTGGCAAGCGATTTCCCTATAAAAAGCCACAAATGTCTGTTTAACAACACTGTGATGTAGCGGATGTGACCCGCCACTAGATATACTCACTGCCCCTTGCTTCTCTCTTGCGGAGCATTGTAAACCTGATGCTGAAACTGTGGGGAGAATTGGGCCTTTGTTTGGTAAACGTCCAGACGAGAGGCGTATGGACTGAGTAATCGGTCACCGGCTCCCAATGGGCGCGATTCCTTGAATTCGCTCCGCTGCCTTGTGATCAGTCTATTCAGCCAGAGGCTGGAGTGGCGTCCTCTAACACAACTCCCTACCTCGCCTTTGGCAACTGGGTAGTATCTCGCCAGCTGACAGAACCATG